TGTCGATGAGGATCTCAGCAAAGAAAAATGTCAGAAGATGATGCTGGAAGTAATGAAAGAAACAACAGCAGAAGATGAATCACAGGTTTCTCAAGAAATCCCTACTGATTCTCAAAAACTAAGAAGGTTTGACTGTTTTGGTTAGATTGAAGGAAAATGTTTAAAAGAGACGGAGGGAACAATCTCAACTCAAGAAAGATTCACAGGAACTGTAGAAAAAAAAAATGGTGCTGAAGAGGAAAATAGAGGAAAAGTAGGACAAAGGCACTAATGATTGGGTCAGAGAACTCTTTAAAGAACAGAAAACATAACCATCAAGGAAGGTATTGATGTCTAAATTCAACAAAATAGCAGAAAAAATATTGAGGCCTCAGGTTTAACTGGTTTTCTTCAAGAAACTAAGCAGGAGGGAAAAACAGGATAGTCATAATGGTATCTAGGGGAGCAAGAGTGATTATTTCTCCTCTCGATAGAAAATTCAATGGGAGTTGCAAATTATGAGATATGCCAAAATAAACAAGGTTGTAGAATCAACCTCTGGAGATTCTGTTTCCATTAAAACAATAATTAACAATGGCAAAGATCGATTGTAACAGCCCAGGCCCAATCAACCGGTAGACATTGCCAGCTTCAAGCTTCACACAAGCATTATTCACCTTCAAGGATTTGATTTTGTGCTTTACACCACCATCCTTTACCTAAAAGGTGTCTACTTCACTAAGGAAACCTAAGACTTATAAGCTAGCCCAAACTATCTTTTACCCCAAACTATCTTTTACTAGCAAAGTAGAAGTTGACATACGTGGCTTTCAAGGATGTACTGTCCATGCATTCCTAAAGGTAAGAAGGCTCTCTGGGAAGAGTTGGTTGCCTAACAGAATAAACTTATGAAAAGATTGGAGTTTGTCAAAAGAAAATTTGAAAGACTGGAACACAGAGGTTTTGGAATATGATTCATGAGAAATGGAAGGCTTTTATAAGAAAAAGGAAGCAGGGATTTTGACTTATTATGGGGGAAAATTGCACCTTTTTGGGTCTATTTGAGCACCCGTTTCTAACAGTTTAACAGTGTTCTATTTTTTTACCATTATTTAAAGAATGGAAGCTGTTGCTAGACAATTTCCTTGTGAGTCTTTTTATATTGATTGGAATGCATCTAGTTTACAGAACTGCTGGTCCACATCTCTGCAAATCCTTTTCATATTAGTAATATTTTATCATTTCTTATTCCAAAACGGAAAATAAGAATATGTCCAAAGGAAAACATAGAAGAAAAAGCAAACCATTTCTGACCTATAATGGAGATTACAATTAAATGATTGACAGATAAGATACCTCTAGCTGTGCAGCTGCCTCCTTATATTGACGTTTTGAAGCCATTACCTGAAGCTGCTCAACAGCAGACACTGAAATAGCATGGAAAAGAGTGTATTAATTAAGAAGTCACAGGGGAAGATGGGCAATTTCAACACTCAAAACCAATATCGAAGAGAAATTTGATTGAAAGAACTTTAAATAAGCAATGCTTACACTTTCAGACACATATCAAACATCTAAGATATTTTAATTATAGCTATATTAATTTTATGATATATTATAATTCTTATCTAGCAACAGCCAGTTTTCATTCTGGATGAAAAACTTAGACAATCTTGATGACATTTAACGATAAGAACATGGAAAAAATTCAATATAAAGACATAAAAGCAACATAATAGACTAACCTAACATCGTAAGACGATGAAGGGCTGTAATTGTAGTTGTTATATGCTTCTTTGCGAAGTCCAACTTCTTAATGTCACGGCATATTTCTTGAACCATCGTTTCACTTTGCTCAGCTTTGGTTTTTATTTCACGGATCTTATACATGAGTTCCTGTATTAACACCAAAAAGCTCAAATTAAAAAATCCCACATGCAAAACTAGAGGCTCCTGTTTTTGAAAGCCAAAGCTAGTAAAAGGAGAGACAAATGCAGCACTTAAACTTTTTCTTAAATGGCCAACTTGTACAGCCATATTTTATAGTAGTTTTAAACTTTATACAAAAGGAACTGACCTCCACAGCATGCGTAGCAGCAGCAAGATCTTCCTTAGCTTTGGTTCCCGAGTTACTCTGTAACCACAGTAGCAAACTCATCAAGGACTATAAATAACCATATAATATCATCTTTTTGGGCACAAGAATATATGGTTATTGTATGTGCCAATGCAATTACTTCATAGAGTAAAAATTCAAAAATAAAGGGAATCTTCAATATTTTTGTGTGTTTGCATGGAGGTGGGGAAAGCTCAGAGTAACAGGTTTAGTCATGCTTCAATGAGGGTTTAAACACACTGTCTACCTAAAAGGATGAGACATAATGACATCAGAAGTGAAAAGAAAAAATGAACAGTATCCACTAACCTATATGAAATGACAAGAGCCAATAATTGAGCTTGCTTTACCAGAACAAGATGATACAAAAGAGAAATATGAAGCAACAATCACCTTCCCAAAGCAGCTCATCCTGACTATGAGTTTGCTGGTCCTAAAAAGTATATGCAATTTGAGCATTAAATAGAATAAACCAAAAGAACGAACTTCCAAGGACAGCAATAATTTACCCTACCCTCAAATCAAAAAAGTTCACTCATTCTCTTCAATGCCAAACTTGTTTCTTTCTAATTGAGTCTTAAAAGAATTTAGCTTGATGAAGAATGTGCACACAATTCCCAATAAATGCACTTTCAGGGGAAACATATTGCAAATATTAAATGAAAATGATAGATTTTGAAGCTCCATTCTATAATTTCAATAGCTTCTCCATTTTAAATCCACTCTTGATTTTCAATCAATATTAAGTTGCTTTTCAAAAGCACAGTATCTGGCCGGAATTATTCTTCCATGCCGGGGGATGCTTTGAGGATAATACAGTAGTACAAAAAGAAGGGCATCCTCAAAATCATCCATTCCGTGAAGTACTTAACGAGATCTATAAGATTGTGTCATAATCAATAACCTTGCAGAAAACATAACTAGATAGGTGGAAAGAACGTGAGAACCTTCAAAAAACTCTATCCCACAGAAAAACAACCACTCAAAGATTATGGTGTGTAACAAACCCAAATTGATTACACTTCATAAACTTGACTAGGCGCCTAACTAGAAAACAGACAAGTAAGAAATCTTAACCTGTTGGCGAACAGCAGCCAATATTCCTGCATCCACACGACGAATCTCACTATGTATCTTTTGCATAAGCGGCTCAACACCAGATAAAGATGCCTCTGAAAAATTAACCACATCTCACGAATTTAATATAATAAACATTGAACAAGGCCATATGCAAATAAACTCTTTATACCAGCCAGGATTCACATTTTTTAAAGTTTCGAATATATAATTTATCAAACATTGCGCTTTAAACTAAAACAATTCTTCATAAAATGTACAGTGCCATTGTATCAAGCAAAGAAACAAAAGAGAACCTGTAGGAAACATCTGGTTGATGTAATCCAGCGCACTTGACTTGTCCATTGCTACTAAAATCAATGCAACTACAGATCTAAATAAAAGAAAATTCATAAATTAAAATATAATCATTTTCTCAAACACAATTGATGAGAATTTCACGATCCTGCATTGCATCAAGGTATTAAACCAAGTGATGAGATCGTGACATCGAATCGAGATTCAAAATTTATTTTATGAAGTCTGTAGAATTAAATTGACCACACCATACCTCTTTTAAAATCTTTTTTTCCGGTGTCGGCCGGCGAGAGGCTTTACGACTAAAGCAGAGTTGAACGATTGGTTTTTGCAAAGTGAGTTTTCTGTTGAAGTACTTCGATTTTTCTGCGGTAAAATGAGTAACAAAAAAAAAAATAGCTTATGAAAATTTTAGGTCGGGATCAGAATTCGTCGGTAGTAATGAGAATTAGGAGTGAAGTGATAAAATCTGCCGCTGCTTCGAATTCTGCAACTAACTGTTGTTTCATTCCACTCCCGCTGGATTTCACGCAGAGAACACCAGTGTAAGAGAACATTAGACAGAGTGTTGCTGGTAAAAATTTGGGTTTCTTCTGCAGAAATGGCGAAGTTTTGAGGGGTTTTTACGGGAATAATAATTTTCAAAATTTTCTTGCATATAATATATGAATATGACCAAAAATTGAATTCAACTGACAAAACGGTCCTCCAGTTTTTAATAATAGAAATCTTATAAAAGTGTATAAATAAAGAGCGTTTTGGTCATTTCACTTTTAGCTTTAACCTTTAACCCTTTTGATATGATTTAATTATAAGCAAAACATTATTATACTATTATAAACAAATAAACAATTGAATGTTATTTGAACCATATTTGAGGGCATTTTTGTCATTCTTGTATATGTTTGATTAGTGTGTTCGTTTATAAACTCATGTTTACTTTTCTTAGATGAGAATGAGAAAAATTCAATTATATTTTGTATTTTTAACTACTATAAGGCAGTTGCCTACAACCCCATATAATATTAAGTCCTCTAAGTTATTAAAATAAAAAATACTTTTATTATTAACATTTCTCCATAAAATTAAAAAAATTGTATTACATATATCTTTCTAAAATAAATTTTACCAAAATATAAAATGAATTAGTTGACTATCATTATAAACAATGGACCATTTAAGAATTTAAGTTATTTTTGTATAATACCTATTAAAGACCACAATTAAGTGTTATTACATTAATAGAGGTATATTACAAAATTCAAATAATTCCACATAAGATCAAACTTTTCTTTAGACTTTGTTTCTTTACATAAATTTCTTCGGCTTAAAAGGAATTAAACATTCTATGAATCTATTGTTTTATACTTAATTAATTACTTTGAATTGTATCATCATTATTTTGTAACTCTTAAGCATATATGATACAAAATATGAATATCAAAAACTTAAAAAGGAGGAGAGAATAGATAGAGTTTCAGAAATAATACTAAATGCAAGTGAAGTTTTGATTGAATCCTCAACCAAGTCAAAATAAGCTAACGACAATTATTTCAATGCCATATTCAGATATCAAACAGCTAACCCAGATAAGAGAATGAAAATTAGAGGGGTGTGGTATCCATAATGGCTTCCAGAATCTTCTTCTCCAATTTATTTTCATCAACCCACACAGAACTTTGTCGGCGTATGAGCTCCTCCTTCTCTTTCTTCTTCTCTACCCTTGCTTTTTCTTTCATTCTCCAGTTTTCAAGCTTCTCAGCTCTTTCCTTTGACTGCATTCATAGTAAAAGAAATAAAACTCAGGCATATGATACATCTATGGCTTCAATGTGAGATGATGGAACAAGTGATAAAAACAACCAAATCATGTCTAAAAAATGAGAAACGTTAACAGAAACAACCAATCAGTTTATTAAAAGCATTATATTTCATTAAAAAAAATCCAAGAAGCAAACCTGATTTAATGTTACATAAGTTAAAAACCAAAGTCTTTCCTGTGTTCATTCGCATATAAAAAAAAACATAATTTCCTCTACTTTAATAGCCTTATTTGATGATTAATCAAATACTTATGAACCAAAACAACAATTCAAGTAATACAATCTTTTCAATTTTATAGCTTCTTTTTCTTCAAAAGGTTTAAACTAATAGCAAGAAGTAAATTATTTGAAGTTAGAAACGATAAAATTTATTGAAATAATGAATAAATAGTGCGAGTCTTTTCAAGCTCAGTGGTATACTCATGTAAAATTCATAAGCTTATTTTGCATAATTTTATTAAAATGTAAAAATCTACCAATTTGCCAATACACAAGATGCCAAAATTTGTGGATCATGAAGCAATACCATCATTCTTATCATGTTATAAAGTCAGATTAAGGTTATAAATATCCACAAAGTCAACTAATTCAAAGTAAAATAACCCACAATAATAAAGAAACAGAATAAGTTTGGAAACACTGTAAGAAAGCTCACAAACAAAGAAGAATCCAAGTCAATAAAACCCAATACTTTGCATCTGAACATACAAAGACTGATCAATCCAAAAAGAAATAAAACTTTTTGTTCAAGTATTTGTAGGTTCATGGTTAAGAATTTCTACTAATAAAATACCGGCAAACTCCATTAGTTCCAAAATTCGCAAAAATCCCTATTCTTAAAATTCTAATTATTACCATAAAACTTCCATAAAATCAACAAAAACCTCCCCTAAAAATTTACACAGAAAATATCTCTAACCTATCTCAATTTTCTGAATTAAACATTTACACTTATAATTAAACAAAACCTTAAAATAAGTTGTTAATATGTGCAATTAAGAACTACGTGAAAGGCACTAAAAAAAGCAAAAATATAGATTAGAAATTTGCTTTGTGCAGATCGAACCATCTGTTACTTTTACATCAAAGCACTATGAGACAGTAGCATACAGCTGCTTTCAAACTTGCTTCTGCTATAAAAACTTTGATCATTTTAACAATTGGTAATCAATTTCAGTATAATTTTTTGATTGTTGAATAGTGGCATAAGCATTCAAAATTTCATCAACAATACAATATAAAGTGGCAAGCAATGAACATACAAATACTCATCAACCAAACTTTTTGTTCATGTATTTGTAGGTTCCCTGTTAAGAGTAAAAATAAAATACCGGCAAACTCCATTAGCTCCAACATTTGCAAAAATCCCTATTCTTAGAAGTCTAATTATTATCACAAAATTTACCCAGAATCAACAGAGACCTGCCCTCAAAATTTACACAGAAAAGATCTCTAACCTATCTCAATTTTCCAAATCCAACATCTGCACTTATAATTAAACGACTTATCTCAATTTTCCGAATCCAACATGTTACTTATAATTAAAGTAAACCTTAAAAGCAATTTGTTCATATGTGCCCTTAAGAGCATACATGAAAGGCACTAAAAATAGCTAAAAATTAGATTACATCAATGCAATTTATTTCCAGAGAAAGAAAACACCTTCCAATTGATATGGTATTAACAAAATTAATTTTTTTATTTTATTTTATGAAATTAACATAACAACTAAATTAAAAACCATTCTTAAAATTGCCACAAAATATAAAATAAAATAAAAACAGAGAGATACATACAAGGACTTGGCGAAATTCCTCTAAAGCAATCCTTCTTTCTTCAGCTCGAACTTTAGCCGCCTCAGCTTTCAATTTCTTACGCTCCTCATTAGCCAATCTAAGCGCTTCCTTCTTCGCTTCGTCTTTTCTCTGCTTTTCGAGCCTCAACATCTCCATCTCTTCAATGTAAACCTTCCGGGTTTCTTTCACTTGCTTCGCATACTGTCTTCTCAAGAGAGCCAGTTTCTTCTCCGCCTCTTTCGGGTTTTTGGGGGCTTCCCAACTGCCCAGGAAAGAGTTTGGGGCCAGGAATTGGTGGGTCTGCTGGTGGTTGTTGCGGTGGCTGGGTTGAGGTGGTGGTGGAGCTACGGTGGTGGTGCAGAAAGAGCGCGTCAGAGTATGGCGGAGAGAGCGAGTGACGGTGGCCATTTTGTGAAGAGTTAAGAGAGATTGAGCCGTCTTAGAGGGTTTTAGTTAAACGAGTAGAGGTCTTAATTTTTAAGGGGCGTTTGGTTCACCGATGTTAAATTATTGGGATTTTTGAATTAATTACCTCTAAGGTTATAAAGAATCTTTTAAAAATGTGATTGATTAGTTAATGGGTATATCATATTAATATGTTTGATGATGAGAAATAAATTGATGGATATATTATTTAAATTACTAAATTATTCTCCTTTTAAATATTAATATAATATTATTTTTATTATTAATTTTTGAATAATTTTTTTAATCTCCAATATTTCAGATTTAGTTAAACACCCTCACTTATATAAAACTTTAATTTATTATAAAATCCCCCCACCTACTATCGCCGTTGTCGCCACCGCAAACCACCGTCGGAAGTCTCCGAAAGTCCCCGTCAATAGCTCGTCATGACCAAGAGGCTCTTGATATGGCCATTTTCGGTCCTCAATATGACCAAAAACAGCCATATCAAAGCCTTCCGGAGCCTCCCACCAAATCTCGTTCTTTTTTAGGGACTTCGACGAATTTTCAGCGGTGGTCCATGGTGGTTGGCCGCTGTCGGTGGTGGTGGCTGGGTGGCAATGATGGTGGTGGCTGGGAGGCAATGGTGGTCTGTAAATTGTTTTAAATATAAGGATATTATTGTCCAAAATTTTAATTAAACAAGGATAAAATTGAAATAGGATATTAATGTAAATTTATTTTAAAATGAGGGCATTATTGTCCAAAATTTTTATTAATAAGGGATAAAATTGTAATAAAAAAAGATAACCCTGGTAATCTTAAAATACCTAAGAAAATGGAGGTAATCAGATTACCTCCAATATTACCAATAGTAACTACTATTGGTATTTGAAGATTACCGGAATCTTATATTACTTGACAATCAAATGTAGTAATCAAGTAATATAAAATAACATAACATTCATTATCTCATATTATCGCCAACCAAACGCCCCCTTAATCTCAGACGGTTAAAGTGGAGAAGTATACCTTAATTACCCTTATCGATATTCGAATTGACCATAATGCCCTCTCTCTACCCCCTTCCTTCCTTCCCTATTTCAGTAGTTGCAGCTACCCATACTCTTCCTTCAGGACAGATGATTAAAAGGTCATATTGGCCTTGAATTTAATTGAAAGATCATGTAGTTTTTTAGTCTTTACTAAATAGCCTTATTTTTTATTAAGACAAACTAATAACAATTAAACACTAATCATGACTTGATTAGGATTAATGAAGTATTGTGTAATTTTTAAAAAATTAAATATGTCCCCAAAAACCTAAAATTCTTGCAAACAAACCTAAACATAACATCTTCTTCTTTTTCCTCCAGCCATTAGCGCATCCCTTCCTTGGTTGCTGTTTATTCTAAGCTTCGAATATATCTTCTTCTTCCTCCTTTCTGTACATCTTCTTCTTCTTACCATTAACACTATCTTCTTCCTCCGCCGTTAACATCTTCTCTACCACAGATTCGCCTCCTCCTCCTCCTGACATTTCGTCCAGGTATGTGTATCTCTCATTTCCATTTTATATTTCGATTTACAAAGATTTAATAATGGATTGGGTTTGGGTTATGATTTTGATTTGATTGTTTAGGTTGTTGGGTTGTGTTTGATGTAATGCAAGTTGCAAGGAGTGAAATTTGTTGAATATTTTCTTGCGTTGCGGGTAGTTGAGAGTGGTAGCACTGATTGTAGGTGGAGATGACTGAAAATGTATTCTGGATCTGATGGATCGCTTAAGCGATCTGGTAAATCATATAATGCAACAGATCGCTTAAGCGATCTGCTTTAAGTTTGGTATATGGCAGCATATCGCTTAAACAATCAGGTATATGGCATAAGATCGCTTAAACGATCAGGCTTATTTATACCAGATCGCTTAAGCAATACAACACATCGCTTAAGCGACTCTGCAGATGTTTTTTAAAATCTATCAACCCTTAATATATCAGTTAATAATTTGTGTTTTCTTGCATTATAGGTACTTGGCTATTATTAGACATGAGACAAGTTGTTTTGGGTGTTGAATATTTTAGTGAGTGGGTGGAGGAAGAAAGTTGTTGGAAGTGGATTGGGAAGAGCAAACAAGTTAAACCAATTGTAGTGAGTACAAAAGTTAGTTTTGATGAGTTGATTGATGAAATTATTAAAAGAGCTGGGTTGAGCTACTGAGGTGGTGATATAGTTGTGAAATATGTTTTAAATAAATTTTTTAAAACATACGGCTCCTGCCATCACAATAAATTTTTCAGCACAACAACTATATCTTGTAAATGTGTGATGACAATACATTTGTGCTTTGAGAAGCTTGAATAAATCATCATTTATATCGTATTAAATAAAATTAATTATTTCTAACTTTCATTCATTTTAAATATTATCAAAATAATTGTCGTGCCAAATTAATCAATTTACTGAATTAGTCATGAGTGAGCTGTAAAAAGTAACACCAAGCCCAAGGTTACTGCAATTTTCAGTTTCATTTGAACTTTTTTCAATAAAGTAAATCTTCAAAAAGCTTAATATTTTATAGAAGGTTACAGCTGTTGTGTGTTGCATTGTAATTACAACATGCAATATAGCAAGTGCATTAGTTGCAAAAAGTAATAAAGTGGTAAGAAAAGTATCGTTCTCACAAGGATTGGTTGTTAAGCACTAATTTTCCTAATTGTTATCAAGTTGGAGAAATCGAAAAGTGTTGGATTTACTGGAGAAACTTAAACTCAATTGAAAGCAAAATTTACTATGTAATTAAAAAACTAATTAATGAAGGCAAGATTAAAGCAAAAGTAATATCAAGTAAAACAAACAGTTAGGGTTTCGACTTCATTAAGACTCTATGAATTAATTCTATGAATTATGCTACTTCTACACTCACATGCACGGATTGTAAATCGAACTTCCTAATGTGTAAAACATACCTTCTCAGGCTATGAATTCCTACTTTTCCCTATTAAGCTTCCGCACCCAACAAATTGAAGATTAATATATCCAAGTTCATTATGCTAATGGAATCCTAGATTGATTTCATTGATTCTCAAACCTATCTCTAGCGTTCAATACAACAATGGTGATTACCCAAGAAGCTCATATATGATTCATTTCTCAATCTCATCATGTTTAACAAATGAATTCAATAAAAATCAGAATGATCACACAATCCATGCACTAGAATGTAAAAGCAACAATAATCAATTAATTACCCATAGAAATCCGAATTACATCAAAACCCTAACCCAAAGTGAGTTAGTTCATAACAAAATTAACATAAATAGCAAGAAAAATAGTAAACACAGCGTTCAACATGTTGCAACAAAGAAAAGAGAGTAAAAGATCTCCCCTAATTGATGAATCCACAAAGTTAAGTCTCAAATCTTCTCTCCTTTTCTCCCAAAATGTCAAAGCTGTCTAAACAAAGACGAACTTCCTCTTAAAATGTCCAAGTTTTTCTTATATAGTGGTCCAAAAACCTAAAAATTTTCCTAAAATAAAAACTGAGCGTTTTAACAAAAACTGAAAATCGCAGACTTCGCCACGGCAACGAATTCCCGAGAATTTATCGTCGCGTTGAAGAATAAACTTCGCCGCGTCGAACCTTCCTGAACAATTCTAAACTTTGCCGCGTTGAACCTTCTTGAACAATTCTGAATTTATGGAATTGCCCTCCGCTTGCTTCCTTGCTCGAATCTTCAATCTTCGATGCTCTCCAATGGGAACAAGCTTCATAGTGCTTCAAATCCGCTTCAGAACTTCCCCGAATTCTGAGATTCGCTTGCTTCTGAGTCCAAAAACTCGATTCCGCTCATTATTTGCTCAAAGTGCATGTTTTGGCCTGAAACATAAAACATATGCAATTAAGTTGCAATTCAGGCAAAAACGACATAAGAAGTATTCAAAATCCGGCCAAAAAGCCTCAATAAAACAGTATAATCCTCGGATTATCATTGCGCTGAAAAAGTTATTGTGATAACAAGAGCTACTGTTCATAGTCAAAATGTTTTTGAAAAATTCAGGCACTCTCTCGGTCTATAGAGTGTAGAGCAGATGGTTGTAGAGTTCAATTTTATATAAATATTATATTTATTTATATATTATTTTCTTGCCAAGAACTAACAAAAATAATAGAATAACAATAGATCATTCAGTTTTATGTACGATGCTGATTGACAAAGACCGAAGTGTTACTTTCACATTATATTGAAATGAAAAAAAATATTAATAATAATAAATATTAAACAAAAAAGGACTAACAACAGTAATAGAATAACCGTAGATTATTTAGTTTTATGTACGAAGCTGTAACTCTGTAAAACCATCTGCACAAACAATCTTTTGACTAGTCATTCAAACTTCGTTTACTCCTTAAAATAACAACTCTTTTGAAAATCAGATTGAGAAGAATCTCAAAAGAGTGTAATATTTATCAATGCTCTAAAAATTTCATTGTCTTCTTTTTCGTCCATATCTCAACTCTGAAGCCATTTTCTTGCTTGAACTCTTAACATCTTTATGTTTCGAAGAAAGAAGAAGAAGATATGTTCACTAAGCTTGCATGGTTATCTAGTTCTCTTCTACCCAAATCTCTACCCTTGAATTTGAGAAGGATTATTGAAGAGTACAAAGGAAAGTAGCCTTGATCATTTAAGTGACGCGGGATATCGTTTAAGCGATCATGGCTTATGTATACTAGATCGCTTAAGCGAGATAAGACTAAGCGAGCCTGTATTTGAGAATGAATTATTCCAAGTACAAAAGGAAAGTTGCCTTGATCGCTTAAGCGACGTATGTTATCACTTAAGCAATCACGACTTATGTAAACTGGATCACTTAAACAAGAGCCCATATCGCTTAAGTGATCCTTAATTTAGAATGATTATTAAGTATAAAGGAAATTAGCCATAATCACTTAAGCAACGAGGGATATCGCTTAAGCGATCAAGACTTATGTATACTGGATCGCTTAAGCGATCCTATACTTGAGAATGAATTTTCAAGTACAAAAGGAAATTTGC